GCGTATATAAAAAAAAAACACGTGAATCATCATGTTTCTACCATATCAACAGTGATGTTTCCCAGTTGAACCTTCCCATGTTCTGACTTCAGTTTCTTCAGACGGTCCTGAAAATGGAAAAATTTATGAGGAAAGAGGGAACTAGAAACGCAAAAGAATCACTGTAAGTAGCTTAACGTCTTAGAAACAATCTCAACCAACAGAACCATAATATACAACTCCAGTGAAAGCTTTCTGTCAACATCAAAGTCATTTCATGTAAACAGAGTCTAGGCTTACCTGTTGCTCCGGAATCAACTCTTGCAGCTGCGACTTCAGGTCCTGCATTGACACCATATAAACAAAATGAGCAACAACCCAACAAGCATCGGGTCCAAAATCAATCTCCCTACAGATCCAGATCCTTTTGAACAGCCTGTGATAATAGGAACCCCCTATATCTTCAATTTCATTCATCAGCTAACCTTCGCTATTATTAAACCAAGTTTCCACTTCAGGTTACTAAGCATTTGGATCTAATTGTGACAAAAATAGAATCTAATCATCTATAATACACTACCATGATCACATACATGGACAAGCAAACATCAAACAAAGGAGATAATTACCACATCGGTAGAGCTCTGCATTTGAATCCATCTAACCGAATTGCTGAGCGAAGATTGTTGCCCCTGGTTACAAAGATCCGAATCACCATTAGATATTAACATTAACGAAACCAAAACTGCATGCGAGATATCAGTTGTATATATATATATGAGTAAACCACTCACAACGCGAGACCTCAGCCTAGTAAAGGCCGATACGCTGCGGAAAAACACCATTCTCCAAAACTCAAAACCTGTGAAACAGTACAGTATCCACCAAAACCTTATATTAATTCTCAAATAAACAAAAGCCGATCCATGGAAACTCAGCAACAATCACCGAATCATAAAGCTTAGAAATGACCAAAAAGGTTTATCGCCAAAACTATAATAATTCAACAAAACTCGAGATTCGATCAACGAAGCTCAAAACATGTGACAGTATCCACCAGAACCATATATAAATTCTCGAAAACAAAGCCGATCTATGGAAACTCAAGCAATCTACAACACTCGCGGAATCAGAAACCTAACAAACAACCGAAGAGATCTAACCGCCTAAATTAATGATTCGACGAAGCTTGAGATTCGATCAACGAAGCTAGTTTCTTAGATTCCAGAAGAAAATCATCGACTAGTTCTCCGAAAATTATGGAATCGCTGGGGGAAAAAACGAAGAACGTACCAGAGATTCGAGGAGGTTGAAGGCGATCGAGAGAAGAGAGGAGAAGGCGATTGTTGACGAATTATAGCTGCGTGTGATGTACAAAATGATCTTTTATACAGCGAAGAGTCCCGAGCAAATGACATTTTACCCCCAAAAAGAATGTGTGCTTTGTGCAGATGTCTGTAGCTGGATTTTGTGGAAAGTTCCTATTTTGACCTTCGAGAACTTTGAGAAGGCAAAAACCAATACAAACCGGGGACAAGGAATCTTGCGGTAAACCGGAATAAAACGCGTTGAGTGGTCAGTATTTTGACATTTTGGAAACTAAACCGAACTAGTTTTAATTTGGACTTGGATGAGCTAGTCAACGGGTACTTAAATCTCAAATTAAGTTTGATTATTAATTTAAAATCAATTTTTAATGAGGTAGTTGATTTATATTTATTTCCTTATATAATTATTTTCAACTTTTCATATGTGACTTTGTCATTAATACTGATTTTAAGATTGTGGCTTTTGACAATCTTTTCAAAATATTATGCATGGGACATGACGAATTATGAATGTGATTGAAATGAATTATAGTTAATCGATTCTACTACCATGTTAAATTATATGATTTCCAGTTCAAAACTAGTTGACAATTAGTAAATTGAATTTTATTTTTATATAATATTTTTAAATATATTTTCAGTTTCTGTGAGACTTTGGTTAAAAATAAAATAAACAGTATCAGCTTTGAAGAAGTAAGAACGTTTCGAGACCTACAAAATCTAGATTTGAAATTGTCTTCTTTTCATCCAATTGCACCCAAACAGATATAGACTAGTTGAAGAAATGAATCCTAATGCCCGAATGGTTAGAGTTATACTAAATAACTAATACATATAAAGTTTTATATATGATAGAGTAATACTAATACAAATGGATACCGGTGACAAACTAATATCTAATTGTCGGTTACTAGTAGTTGCATACTCTCCGCGCAAGCGCGGGGCCGGAATTATTATGTTTGCGTTTATTTTTTTCGATTTAGTGGTTTAGTGGATTCTTATAATGACACCAAATAATAATGAAATGGAAAGAATATAGTAAGAGTGTAAGGTGAAAATATTGTATATCTAATGTGTTAAATGTTATTTATATGCGAAGTAAGGTTTATAGGAACAATTAGATTATAATATAGTTTTTAGTGTGTAAAAGTAGGTGTCTATTTTTTTTTTTTTGCTCTAAATAGTTTTTATATCGTATGTCAAAACTTGATATAATTCTATATTTATAGTATTTATATTTGTATTAAACGATTTATCAATTTAAAAATAACCTTAATTAGGTTAATATTCGTTGTTTAAGTTTAATTAGATCTGTTTTTATATATGGTTTTTTGTAAGTTTGAGTTTTGTTCATAAAAGATGTGGCATTTTTATCTACGGCGTCATCTACTGTGGGAATCCATTCGCCGAAGTCTGGAGTCGGTGGTGAGAAATGTTTTCAATGAAATTATAGTAGTTATTAAAATTTAAGAGAAATTACATATTCATTTAATAAATAACGAAAAATACTTAAATTTTGTTTTTTATTTTATTTTATTTCACATACAAATTTTTTGAAAATATATTAGGAATGAGTTAAATGTTATTTATATGCGAAGTAAGGTTTATAGGAATAGTTAGGCTATAATATAGTTTTTTTAGTGTGTAAAAGTAGGTGTTTTATTTTGCTGTAAATAGTTTTTATATCGCAGATCAAAACTTGATATAATTCTATATTTATAATATTTATATTTGTATTAAACGATTTATCAATTTGAAAATAACCTTAATTAAGTTAACATTCGTTGTTTAAGTTTCATTAGATAGGTTTTTATATATGTTTTTTTGTAAGTTTGAGTTTTGTTCATAAATGATGTGGCATTTTTATTTATGGCGTCATCGACTGTGGCCGTGGGAATCCATTCGCCGGAGTCTGAAATCGGTGGTGAGGAATGTTTTCAATGAAATTATAGTATTTATTAAAATGTAAGAGAAATTACATATTCATTAAATAAATAACAAAAATAATTAATTTTTGTTGTTTTTTATTTTATCTCACATACAAATTTTTTGAAAATATATATTAGGAAATATGTGCAATGATTTCACTTTTTGAGCTCTTAATCTATACTATTCAAGCCTCATTAAGCCATCCACGTAGGTAGCCGCGTGGGATTCACTTTTTTTTTTGGTCCGTTCGTTTTTGGATTCATTTTTTATTATTTTTGGGTTGAACTATATTATAATGGGATAGTTTTAAGGCTCTTTAAGCCATCCGCGTAGGCAACCGCGTGAGACTTGTTTTTTTTTTGTTTTTTTATTGTTCGTTTTTGCATCCATTTTTAACTATTTTTGGTTTGAACTCGTTAAACTTTAGGGTTTATCCAACTATTTTGATCTTTAAGCCATAAAAAAAAAATAAAAACCTTACAAACAAAAAGCTCATATGATAATAACCCAAATAATAAAAAAAATAAATAAATGATGGTTGCGTGGTTTGAACCCACGATATTGTATGTTTAATTAAACACCTTATACCATTTGGCTAAAGTGTATTTCATTGTTTGTAATCATCTTACCAAGACTATAAGTTTTTTAAAAATACATACTGCTGACGTGGCGCGTTGTGGAACCTAGAAAGTGTACTATTATAATATATATATATAGATTAGTACAATTTGTTATGTATATATGATAGATATAATTTCTGACCGTCAAGTTTCAGACACTGCGTGTGATTAATAAAAGAATTTTGCAGAGTTGACTCTTGACTCGTTTTTTAAACTACTAAGGCAATTTCAAATTGTTTTTGAATCTTAAAATAAAGTTTCGGAAATTCGATGGTAAAGTCATCATCTGTTTGGCTCTTAATACTATTACCAGTATTGTCGTCACGATCTTCTGTTTCTCCTCTAACGTAAGTAAGAAATAGTATGTAAATGAATATAAAGAGGACAACGAATATGTTTGGACATTTACAGCCTATTAAAACCCAACTGTTAGAATATATATATATATGATTCTAAGAACTAATTGAGATGAATACATGTGTACATGTCACTGTGTGTTCTGTTTATAAATTTTATATCACACTGATTTTGGTTTAACAGCTACATATGTTGCCAAAATTTTCATGTACCGCTGTTTGACCTATGGGTTAGTTATAAAAAGGAGAATAAAAGCAAACCGTATATCAGTTAGTATTTTATGTGTGAGAACAAGATAGGAGAGATCATCATTCTCAAATCTCAGTTGATTAACTACCATCATTACACGGTGGAATTTCAAAGATTCTTAAAAAAAAAAAGAATAGGTAGAAACTAAGAGGAAGAAATAGTGAGCTGAAAAAATAATTACAAAGACTAAATAATGTTGAACATCTGTAAACAAGAGATTAAATTCCTCAAATAAGATCCTGTTTTTGCAAATGTAATTTAACCAACAATATGTAATACATTCGCTTATCTATAACAACGGAACACTAGCTAGTAATTCTAAGTACCATACAAACTTTTTCTCCATAAAGCATATCATAATCAATCACATACTCACACATCAATGAAGTTACATACCAAAACAACTAGGGTTTTTGACGACCACCACTTTAATTAGATACAGTCACTTCTCCGTGAAGGACTTCTTATAAATCAAACTCTCCATTAACACTATGCCTTTGTTCCAAAAAAAAAAAACACATGACTTGTTCGTTTGCTTTCATAGCTCAATCTGCTTGTGACCCTTTGTATCGAAGTTGTTGTTGCTGTTGTCGAAGATGAAACCTTCCACTTGTGAAGAAGAGGATCTCATAGGAAACGTAGAGAAGTAATCTTCTTCTACATCTTGAATCAAACCTTCCAGATCAAAGTATGTGTTTGTGTTCGAAGGACTCTGATCACCGGATCCCCATTCTTCTTTTACCTGATGGTTTCCTCCGTTTGCTAATAAACCGGTTAGGTCTGTAAGCCTGTTAACCGGCGGATGATCTCCGCAAACCGGTGCATGAGACGTTGGAAATTTCGGTCTGGCTCTCTTTTTCTCGGTCTTTGCCTCTCCGGCTGAGGGTTTTCCGGTTAGACTTTGGACGACTGAGGAAAAGTTCTTGATGTCGGTCTTAATAACCTCCGGTGGGGATATATGGATGATGCGAATCTTATGCTTGATCATCTTGGATATTACTTTTGAGTTCTTGTTCATAGAAACCCTAGAACTTGAAGTTTTATTAAAACTTTGTTGATATTGAGTAACCTCCATGGATTCTCTCACCATTCCAAAATAGATACCCAAAAGAGAAAAAAATTTACACGCTTGAGAAAATATTTGATTTTCTTTCTGAGATGTGTAGTTAGAACTTTGAACAAAAATGATTGGTTTATTGTGGAATAATACTGATGCTGTCAGGTGATTTTTTTTATATATATATAGATAGTTGTATAAATTTAAAAGTCTAGGATTGTTGGTTAGTCAAAACATTAAAATTAACAAAAAACTTGAAAATCAATATGATAAAGAAGGTGCGAAACAGCGATGGGGGCTGCCCACCGTGACTCACGACAACAACTTGATTTAAATAAAGTTCTGTGTGTGTATAGATCATATTTCTATTATTTACATGAGAATATTTTAGTTATGAACTATTGTATTTGAATATATCATATATATATATAGTTTAAAGACCCAAGCATTGGTTGCGTAAGCCATATATATCTTTCTTTTTTTTTATCAAAGCCATATATATATCTTTGGTCACCATTTGGAGGTTTTTCTGGGGGTAGGGTGTGTATAAAAATGTTAACTGTCGGCATGTTTTGGGCTTTCGTATAGTTTCTGTAGAAAATTAATTATGATACTGTTTGTATTTTAACATACAACTGTCAGTAATTGTATTTTTCCACTCTTGTCTAAATGCTAGTACTCATAGGGAGATTCTCCATGTTGAAGTGATTAATAGATGTAGTTATATTCTTTTGGTTAGTGACACCGTTTGTTGAATCTTAACTTTGTCATAACTTATAACAATATTAGTAGAGATTCAATATCTTATGCAATTTTTATTATCGATTTCTGTAGTTTGTGGAGTCAAAATCTAACTAAGGAAATAATCACTTGAAAACCGACCTAGTTCTAAACCTACGTTTTTGTAAATTTATTTGGATTTGATGGTGCTTTCAATATATTTACTTCACATAACAATGTCAATATATATAGAAAGGTTAGAACATACCCATCAGTGATACTGGGCAGGCACGAAATCCTAGGTTAGTTTTTAAATTATTTTTTTGGACTTTTTCAAAAAAAAAAAAAATCGGCGAATCACGGCCCGCTACGTGGCGAACCCGTGACGATGGTTCACCACGGTGAACTCACACGAGTCGGGTTCACTACTTTCCCCCTCAAAAAACGTGTGAACCCCCTTAAAAACCCGTAATGGACATGCTCTTATAAAAGTGAAAATTCTAGAACTAGATTCATACTATAGCTTTCGTATCATCTTATCTAGTTTGAATTCCGATTTGATAAACCAAATACAGTTACTACTTAAAAAGTCTGTAATGTTAATCTAATCAATTCCGTTCGTATGTACCTTAGACACGTATACATTCCATTTTCACGTTTGTTTATTTTTTAATTAGCTGGTTATGTAAAGTTTTGCATAGAAAGGCTGACTTTTTTTTTTACAAAACAATGACATAAAGACCTAGAAAAAGGTTGCACGCACATAAAATAATAGTTGACTTTTTTTTTTGTTTTGCCAAAGGGTGGATCTAATTTAACCTTCGTCGACTTTACGTATTGTGTGATTAATTTTTATATTATAAGCCCGTTTATATCTTTTGGAGAGTCGGGTTGGTTATGTTGGTATACGGATTATATTTGTCAAGATGTCTTCGAAATGTCACCCACGGAAATGTATTTTTCAAATCGTTACAGCTAATTACCACATATTATAACATGCGGAGTAGAAGTAGAAGACTTGTTCTGTGCGTATTTTTGAGAAACAAATATGTGCAAATTGTATGTATGGGGCCATGAACTATCATCCAACGTTTCAAGCATTTCGGAGAGAGTGTGGGGTTCATTAATTTAATCTTATATATTAAAACAGAAGTCATGACTTGATTTCATGTGTGATTTCATGACTTGATTTCATGTGTGATTTTTTTAAAAATTGTTTGTTACTAGAAAGTTATGTTACATTAACTCTTTAATAATATTATCATTATTATATCTTATAATATGCTTAACAATTTTGTTTTGGTAAATTACCCCACACCTTCCAACTTAGTCACGCAAAATATGTCAATAGATATAAATTTAGGAATCTTCTATTATTTATAAGGAAATATGTCAATAATAGTTAAATGCATCCAAAATATATTAACAAAAATCACAGATTATTAATATGTAATATTTATATACCTTAACAAAATTTACACGTTATATATATTAGATAAATTTATTTCGATGTAAAATTTTAAAATTGTATTGTTTAAAAAAAGAAATTGTTTAAAAAGTTCCTTTTTAATAAACTTTTTATAATATTAATTTATGAAGCTATAAGTTTAGTTTTTAA